GTTACTTCCGTCGGTTCGGTACGTACGGTGGGTCGACGTTCGGTTCGTACGGACCCGTCCACGACGACCGAACTACCGACCACCTTAAACTAAACTAGCATAAATACTCTCTCTCTCTCTCTCTCTCTCTCTCTCTCTCTGCCCAGTGGGAACTTGGGTTCTTGGCCCTATGGCCCTAGCGAGTAAGAGCCTGAGTCTGACCACGTAAACGAAATGCATGAAATCTCTCTCTTCCTCTATGTTCCCCACCCCCCCAACTTCTCTCTCTCTCTCTCTCATTAAACATGAAATCTCTCAATGTGTTTTTGCAGACCTCAAAGGAGTACTTGGAGAAGCAGATGGCGGATATAGAGAACAATTTGAGGGAGTTGTTGCAGCAAGATCCAGGCCTAGCTCGCCAGATAATGTCAATGTCAGTGTGAGCTTTCTTTTGTGGCTTGTTTTCTCTAAGAAGCTTTGCTTTAATACCAACCATAATTATAGTTCATGTTCTTGTGAGTTTTTCGGAAGGTAATTTCTTGAGATATTTTTGGATTGTATGATCTGTGCGACTACATGAATTATTTGGTCGTATAGGTCATCGCCATCCAATATGGTTGAACAGTGATGGAGAGAGTGTGGGGACCCTGCACATTCAATCGCAAATCTGAGGCTCTCTTTGTTGGGGTCCCCATCCCATTGATTGGACGATGCTGACCATTTTGAGTACATACTTCATGTTGCTATACGAATCATATTTTGCTGAAGTAAAAAGGCCTTTATCCTCTCCGTTCTTTCTACTGGTTTTCACATTTTTTTATATTTGGAGTTCAACCGTGGGATTTGAACCTCTTCAAATTTAATAGGTGGTATAGGTATCTTTTTCTTTTTTGACATACGGTGTTTTTCATGTCTGATGAGCCAATTTTGGAGTTTGTTTTTAAAATTGAATATTGTTAAGGAACCAGGTTTGGGTCAAGATAGTGGTAGCTGGGTTTTATAGCACTATGTCTCAAGTTTCATTCCTATATAACCTTGTCAAAAAAAAAAAAAATTTATTTTTAAGTAAAAAAAACATCTTGAAAAGTCTTTAATGCAGTGTTTAATTTGTAGAATCAGGTGCGAACTCAGGCATCTTACTACCTTGGTCTCCCATTACACTAGGTGGATTGGGAATCTTAAGAAGAAAGAAAAAGTGTTTCTTATGAAAAAATGGTAGATTCGGGCGATAATGGGGTTCTTATGAAAAATTAGTAGAGCATGAGTCTTTATCCCAATTATTTGGGGTTGGCTACTAAATAAATATCATAAATAAAAAAATAAAACAATTTTTAAAATCCTCTTATATAAAATATTTAGTCTTTCAGTGTTTATCCTTTTAAATGTTGTATTAATTTCATTTTGTCAAATTTTTAAATATTAATGTTATTAGCATGGGTGGGGTAATCTTGCACCATCAGGTTCTATAGGACGACAAAAACAATAACTTTTGCATGTAAGATATTTTTCCCACTGATACATACAATTGTTGAAATACATAGTCTTATTTATTTTTATCAAAGGATTTTATACTCCCACGGTAGTATATTCTACATTATTTTCCCGGGTAAAACTCATTATAGGAGTAATTTTAGGATTTCAAATTTTAGGGATGTAACATCTTCAAAGCAAAGACTTATTACGGTGGAACTTTTTTCTGAACTCTCTATGTACTATTAAAAATAGAGAAATGACACTATGAGATCCTCCCACACCCATGTACACCCATGTGAGTAGGATTTCAAAGGATCACCATTAAATTTTGACACAAATTTCTAGAAAAGTTACGACATGCGTGCGGGATTTGAGTGAGTGGGTTTTTTAGAGATTTGTGTTAAAATTTAATGATGATTTTTTGGGATCCGATGCACATAGGTGTAGGAAGGTCTCATAGTATCATTACTCTTAAAAATATTATATCAAGATTTAACGGAGATTATCCCAACTTTCTAAGTGTGAGATTTGAGTGTTAAAATAAAGTTAAAATTCATATATTTTTTAAAGATAATAATCTAATAATTCTTTGATGGTTTCCAAAATTTTATGATGAAAACATTTCACTCATCATTTATGGAGAGATCGAAACCATTTGCGCTTAGGATATCCTCTATTCCCCCTGCTTGGGCTCTTGCCTCTGCATAATCCCTTGTGAACAGGGATACTGGTCGACAGCACTGGTTCTTCGTTACTATGAGTCACTCATTGATTGATGGAAGAAGAGGCAAAGCAAGCTACGTGTAGAATCATTAGTTGGGCCAGTGAGATTCAATTTTTTTGTCGGTGCCTCGGCATTCTTCACCCTTGCTATTGGCAGGCTAAATTTGGAGAATCAGCAGAAAGAGATGGGTCGAATACTGGAATGCCATCTGATCCACCCTAAACTCCTTGACTTTTTCGAGGCAGGGCTTCAATCGAACCGTATCTCATTATTCCGGATGGATGGACCAACTCCTTGAACTGTGGGTGCGACATGGTATACATGCTATTGACTTCTTTTGGTCTCAATAGACATATAGTA